AAGAGGAGACGAAAGCAGACGACAAAATATTGCTAGAGAGCAGGAAAGGAGGTGAGAGGAGACAATTTTAGAGAAGAAAATTTTTCGGTCACTACCCGGATTCGAACCCGGAACCTTTGAATGAGAGGCCAACACCTTAACCTCTTGGGCACAAGATCCCCCTAGCATGTTTCTTGAGGTAAAGAATGAGGTAAAAATTCGGGTAAACTAGTGACAACACATAGACACTTACATGTTTCTTGAGGCACCTCTTCTGGCTCTTCCTCCTTCTTTTTGATCAAGCTGCCTTTCTTGGACTGCGGAGAGAAAAAATAAATAAAAGTAGTTTATTTATTTATTTATTTATTTATTTATTTATTTAATTTATAAATTTATTTTTTCAAATGTATCTAATTATGTAATTATCTATTTATTTATTTATTCATTCATTCAGTCATTCATTCATTTATATATTTATTTATAAAACTAAGTCACTTTTACTTTCGATTTTCTTCGCCCCCATCGACACGATTTAGATCAATTACAATCCCAGCCTGCTTGGGAGGGCTGAGAGGGATACGAAAGATCGAGGTACTCAATAAAAATTTCTCTCCACTTGAGAATCGAACTTGGGTCTCCTATGTGTGACAGCTAAAGAAGGACTGAATCAGCCGAGACATGCAATCGTGATACCACTGGCTATCTCAGTTGTCGAGATACAGACTGCCGTCGAGACCAGGAGTTCCAGTTACCTAACGAACAGTGGCCAATCAGTGGCCAACAGTGTCCGATCATTTGCCGGCAGTGTCCGATCATTTGAAGACAGTGTCCGATCAGTGGCCAACAGTGTCCGATCAGTGGACAACAGTGTCCGATCATTTGCCGGCAGTGTCCGATAATTTGCCGGCAGTGTCCGATCATTTGCCGGCAGTGTCCGATCATTTGCCGACAGTGTCCGATCATTGGCCGACAATGTCCGATCACTGACCGACAATGTCCGATCATTTGCCGACAATGTCCGATCGTTGGTCGACAGTGTCCGATCATTTGCCGACAGTGTCTGATCAAGAACTGATCATTGGCCGACAGAGCTCCATCATTGGCCGTCAGAGTTGGATCATCATCCTATCAATTGACGACAGTGTCCGATCATTGGCCGATCATTGGCCGACAGGGTCCGATCATTGGCCCACAGTGTCCGATCATTGGCCGATCATTGGCCGACAGGGTCCGATCATTGGCCGACAGTGTCCGATCATTGGCCGACAGTGTCCGATCATTAACCGATCATTGGCCGATCATTGGCAGACAGTGACTGATCATTGGCCGATCATAGGCCGATCATTGGCCCACAGTGTCCGATCATTGGCCGACAGTGTATGATGAGTGACCGACCTGCATCTGATCAATGATCGACTCTTGTCCGACCTGTGTCCGACCATTGACCGACTTGTGTCCGACCAGTGACCGACTTGCATCCGACCAGTGACCGACATGCATCCGACTAGTGACCGACTTGCATCCGACCAGTGACTGAGCTCATAACGTAATACAACAGCACACCCAGAACCCAATCTCTACCAGCCCTTTGTGCAGCTACAAAATGAAGCCCCCTCCCCCCACACATACACCAACAAAATCTAAAACAACAACCCCTG